ACAACATGTCGACGGTAGTTGAAATCCAACTTAGCCCAATAATTCGCTATTATTTAAAAAAAAAAAAACTATATATTTTTATCTTGGCAAGAACCTTTCAATTCTAGGCTCCCTATTGGTCAATCTATTTGGCTGTAGTGCTCTTCCAATAGATTTTCGAAACATCACTATGCAAAAGGGATACTACACTATTTTAGGTCCCCTTGTATTGTAAAAAAGTCCCTTTTGTTCCAAATTCAGTTGAATCATTTTTTTAAGAACACCTTCTTCAAGGGTTGATATAAAAAGACATTCTTTTAAAATTGTTAATTACAATCGTGTCTCACTTCAAAAGACACACACAAAAAATATCAAGTATATTCGACCGTGCGAAATGTCAACTCGATAATCGGCCATCTACTTGACACAAACATTGAATACATAGAACTTTTTTCTCAAGTTTATGGTATGTTTTTGTGTAGGGCAAACATTGTATTGTCAGATTTTTCGAGTTAATGAAAGTTTATTTCTCTTGTTATCGACGATTTACAGTACCATGTTAATTCATGATTTTCTCTTCCTCCCTCGTTCTCCATTTTCCCTAGCATTGTTGACTATGATAGAAAGTTTCGATTAACAGAAATGTAAAAATGATATTGCTGTCAGTTTCTCTCGCTTTTTTTTTTTCAAATATCCTTCTCGAGAAACTTTATCGAATCAAACTAATGAATAAGACAAGGGAGTAATTCATGAGATAATCTGATTTCCACTTATAATTAATTACTTCTTAGTGTTCAGAAAAAGTCATTCTCAATTGTGGGTCCTTCAGATAAATAATTCATTACATTTCTAATTCGGGCTAGGCTCAGCCCACTACGGGCAATAATTATTCACACTAAATTCTCCCTGCCACAGGAATAAATTTTCATGTGATAACTTATTACAGCAATTTTACAGAGTTAATTTTACTAATGGTCACTGAGGTTCGTGTAAAATTTCAAATTGGTCATTCAAGTTATTAATTATTTCACAATTGATCACTGGGTACTAAAATGAACGTATAATTTGACGTTGCGTATGTTATCTCCCAAGATGTGCTATGGATTTCTTGGATAAGTTTCGTGCGGAATTCCTTCCAAAAGCTCAAAATTTCACCTAAGTGACTACTTTAACTGCGGATTAAGCTTATGTTAAATTAATGTATGAATTTGTGAATTTTATTCAACAATCAGGATTTCAATGCAAAGAATGTAATTGACGGGTTTAGTTGGCATTGGCACTTAACGGATGCCACTTTAGATTAAACGTTAGAAAACTACTCAATTACCAATTTGAAATTACATACAAACTTGAGTGACCATTGATGAAACTAAACAACCGGCTCAATTGTCTTGAGTAAGAACACGTTTGAGAAAACTATTATTATATTATGAGTTACTCGTCTTATGAAATGTATAAGTAGGTAAAACGTGTTGATAAAAATCAAATTTATAACTTATATGTAATTATGAACATTGCTAAATGTGCAATAAGAATTTAAGTTTTGTTTTTAGAGTGTGTTTGGGATACATTCTTTTGAAAGAATGTATTATTGAATAGTAGATTGATGGAGAATGTGTGATTAAAAATGAAAGAAAAGTTATTTATGTGATGAAAAATATTATTTTATTGAAGAATGTGTGGTAGAAGAATTAGAATGAAAAAAATAATGTGTACCAAACAGGGCCTTAATATTGTCGTGTACGCAGGAAAGAATTTATCCCATGTTTGAGCCATATTAAAATTTCATTCTCATTCTTCTACTCATTTTCAACCACACATTTTTCAATAAAATAATATTTTACATCACGTCAATAACTTTTCCTTCTTTTTCAACCACACATTCTCCATCAATTTACTATTTCAAAATTCATTCTTACAAAATAATATGGCTCAAACACACCCTGTCGTTTTGTTGGTAAGGAAAAAAAAAAAGCATTTTCCGAATATGTTGATACATAGTGGTTACTTTTCTTTTGTGCACTGGCCTCTTATAAATACTGTCTATCTTAATTATTAGAGAAATGATATGATAAAGAATCGCCTTCTACATGAATGTAAACTTTATCAAAGCACATGGAGAAAAAAAGGAACTAAACCCCTTTACCAAGACGATATCTCTCTTTTAACGTCTAAATGACACGGATTAACATGATGCCGTACGATCGGATCTTTCCGTCATTCATTTATGAAAATGAACTTTAACAATAGAATTTCACGAGCGTCTTTTTGATATGCACCATGGTTTGCATTTATCGTCTTCTACCGACAATAAGGTCGGATCTGCAAGATCAACTCGTACTTTTGACCGCCATGGTTTGATGAGACATAATGATTGTAAATTCCTTACACACTATCAAAATATTCAATCAATTAATGACATTCAGAAGGACTTACGTCAGCGTCCACCAATTCCACCAATCATATACTATAGCTTTGTTCTCTAATCAGCTCATTAATTGTTGTGGACCCCATTTAAGGTCGACTTCATGATAACCCGATGGAGCCGACCTCAGCAACCAACGAGAATATCTCATTTGATAAAAACACTTGTAGTTTGTAAGTAATTATCAATAAACATCCTTATTTACACTTGAAGTTGGCTTGAATTTTGGTTCCACAATTTTCGACGTCAACAAACTGTAACAATAGAATTTCATGAGCGTCTTTTTGATAAACAGTAATGAACAAAGATGTCATGAATCATTGTGTGATTGTTTTTTATATAGCATGATCAAAGTTCAACAAAGGTCAAAATCTAATGGCTATTAATGTAAACGTTGAACACACTGATTCCGAGCATAATTTTACTTACATATACAAAGAGCATTTAGTTCTTATTCTTGATAAATGTAGAGTAGACTAGAATCCCTTTTTCGATACTCCATTGATTTCATAATTTTAGCCCATGTCTGATTCAGCTTAAAAAGTGAATTAAAATCTAAATCAACGTCGATAATTATTTACAACAACACATTTCATAGAGCCTATAACTTTGTAACTATTTATTTTATACTTTCATCAAAATCTAATAAAAATCTGATTTTTATTCCAACCAAACCTGGGCTTAATCATGAAGAATGCAAAAGCGGCCCAGCAGAACTCAATCTTCTGAGTCTTAATAGAATCTGTTCCAGACCACTAAAATTGCTCTGTAATCCATCATGTGAATTCTTTGCTTTTTATGTTAGCCAATCAAAAACTAACAAATAATACAGTTTATTCAATCTTACCACCTTTGCATGGACAAAAAAATATCTAAAGTTATGCTATTGTTATATAACAATGGTTTAATACCTTAATTAGAAAGATAATCCTTTTTGACCAAAACATTTTGTTCCAAGTTTGTACAGAAAAAAGGGACAGAACAAAAATTCAAATTGAAATGACAGGATTTGAAATTAAGCTGAATGAACATAATGCTTGACATAGGGGGTGACCGACCTCTCACATTGTATGTGGGTCCCGATCTGAATTAAAAAATGCGGACCTCCTCCATGTGTGTGCGGTGTCATCCCATATGTCAAGCATTATGTTTGTATAGCAAAACTCCAAAATTTTTAATGGCTGACTAGGTGTTAATTTATCGAAATTTAATTTCAATTAGGTTTGCAGCCCTCAGGAAACTTTATTGACGGCCAATTGAATCTAAAGCACAAGACAAAACTTTTTTGAGAGAAATGAATCTCCATGCGTAGGATGTACACTAAATATAATGATTCTCTTTTACTTTTTATTATTTAGTACGGTACAATCAACTTTGTCAAATATGACATTAGCGTTAATCAACGTCTAATGTCGAGTGGTTGCCCCCTTTCTTTATGGATAATAAAGCTTTTAATGCCGACAATAGACAAATACTCTTCGTACCCCACAAACAAGGTCTGGAAACGCCGGCTTTTGTTCAACTCTCGAGGCCGCCTCACACTTCCATGCCCTCTTCATGAAACTTCATGTTATTCATAAGATTCTATAATATATTATAAATAAATCTACTTGTACAATTTTGGGTTACAATAATAGATGACAACCTCTCACAAAAAGGTGGGACCCACAATTATATTTTAATCGTAAGCCCCACCTCTTTGTGAAAGATTGTCATTCATTGTTGTAATTCAAAGTTGTACATATAGCATCTCTCATATATTATTTCACTTTGTCCGCCTCTTCCATTACTTTCCAAACCAACCAATATGTGAAAATTCGTGTAATTGCATGACACTATTCTAAATTCAGAGTTTAATAAAATTTAATTTTAGGAAAATTCTGTTTGTACGGAAAAATTACAGATTCTTACATGGGTCCGAGCCCCATTTGAATTAAATATTATCCAAAAAAGAGCCCCACTTATAGTGTTTATTCTGTAGGATGTCTGTATATTTTTTTCTGTACACCCAACATATTCCTTTAATTTATAGTTTTTGAGGACGATTATACCTTTGATTAGTGCTAATCTTACATTCAAAGAATGTTCTTATAATTTATTTTTAATTTGTAACTTGAACAAAAGTAAGTGATCAATTTTTGGATTTCGATTTGCAATTTTTCCAGTTTTTCCTCGGTAGTTGCTAACTCGTCGAGAGTGTTGATAAGTTTACCGACTCAATTCTGTGCCATATCTTGATATAGTTTGCCAACAGCTTCTGCTAACTTGTTTCGATTTTCAGTGGTCTCCGAAAAATCCTTTTTCATTGCTTCTTCAAGCTGACGAGCCAGATCGTCCCACTTTATCTATCAACTTTTGCCTAACGATGGGGAGATTTGAGATTGCTCACATATGTACAGTAGTATCAATCAGTATTTATTTATAGTCGTAAATCTATCATTTCTCATAGAGAGTGTGTATAGAATTAACGAAACCACTTCTTTGGAGTTTATGATGCAAAATTTAATCAGAGAAACCTCTAGCATAGAGTTTGTGAACGCATCCTCCCTTTTTCTCCATAAAAAGGTAATCACTTCTTGACTAGAATATAAACAGTTCAGTTGAAAAATATGATTTCGACCTCTTCTGCATTTTGATAAAGATCAGACTTATTCAGCACAAACACAACTCTTTTCTTCCATTGTTGAACGTAGCGAAGAAAAGTAACCTGGAAGGCAACACAGGTGGATTAAAATCTCTGTCATGGGATAAAGAGGAAGAACTGAGCCGTGAAAGAAACAGTTTTTATCTTTTAACTGCCAATGAAAATGTGCCAAGTGTGCATCTGTTTAAATACAGTCATTGAGCCTGTTTGTGTAGCAAAACTTAGGGCGTGTTCGGTAGAGATTAAAATCGAATTAAAATTAAAAAATTAGCCGTTACTATTGACTTTTATTAAACGAGTGAAATCCAATAATAACTATATTTTCAATTTTAATTGAATTTTAAGCACGACGAACACGCCATTAGTATCCATAGGCATTGTTGTACTAACAGTGGCAACTAGATCATACCTCACTTTCAGTCAACGGTCGATTGGCAGAGATAACAAAAAGAATTAAATCTGCACGGGGCACAAATTCCTCAGTGAGGCATTGTTGCCTTCAAAGAATCACATTTGTTCCAGGCGTATCAGCAATTATCATCTGCTTTGGGTGGAAGAAGTGAGGAAATTATGAGAGATAGTTTAGACAAGTACGGTAATCATTTTTATATAATGTTTAGCTATTTCGGACCAACTCAAACCTAATACCATACACAGACGTAAAAAAATGGTATAATATAGAACACTGCCTGTTTTGGTTCATGTTTATTAACCTTTTTATAGACACTCGAGCTACCCACTTATCAACTACATATTTCTATTTATTTATAATTTAAACCGTAGATAAACACTTTCCCTACATACTCTAATTTTTACCTCAACTAACTAGCTGTTTTGACAACTACAGTTTCCAACTAAAACTTCATCCTAGCAAAATAACTTCAGTGCCTCAAAAGGCACATCACACGCAAGAATAATGGATGATAATCACAAATATTATAGTTTTGATTTTGGCACATGAAGGTATACTGGAAGTAGAAATTCAAACATTTTCCCATAGAAACACGACTTATTCACAGTGGAAAATTGGAGTACAAAATTGACAAAAAGAAAAAAGAAAGAAATAAAGATTGGTAATATCACTATGTGATAGACGTATGGCTAAAAGCCACACGAATTATTTATTTAGAAATGGGGAGAAATTTAACTCTACGTGACAACCCAGAGAAGATTTTCCTTCCAAGGAAAAAAAAAATGTCTTTCCATGTTAAAATTGGAATGCATTCTTATCCGATCAGTAGAAGACAGTAGAAGTAGAAGAAACTCACTTCTTTAAGAACTGGAACAGGTAAATAACATATATATTGACCATCAGGGTGCCTTATCACAGTGCTGAACATTATAATTCAACTCAGAATAGCGTAGAAAGGTGATCTCATTAGTTGTAGGTACAACTCCATACTTCAAGTATCTTTGCCCCAGAAAAGCATTGATGACCCTTGATTTGCCAGAATTGTACTCTCCCTGGTGTCACGCAGTGAGAATGCTTATCCCCCAATCGGCACGGCAAGGACGCTAACAGCTAGGCGCGAAGCCTATTTTACCAATAGTGCACTAATGATATATGATCATATGCAGATATTCTCCTTAACATCCTACTCATAGCATGCATGTATGCCAGTTGTTCGGACTTGCCGGCCTCAGAATAAGGGGAAGGCAGCCTTGAGGCGTTGTACCTTAGGAGCCAAACGTGCGGTTCGTGAAAGTTGGTATCAGAGCGGGTCCGCTCGAGTATGCGATGTTGTTATGGGACAATGTCGTGTGTTCTTGCGGAGAAAAGATTTTGGGCCACGGATCTTGTTGGCAAGCTGGCGAAACACGACAAAGGAAGTTGTGGGCAAGAAGGATGAAAAAGGGCAGCGTTGCGCAATTGCCTAGGTGCCTTTCAAGGAGTTTTCGAGAAGCGCACCTTGCAAGGATTTTCGACATGCGTTGAGGCACTACGGTTTGGAGGCCGTCCACCCGAGGAACCAATGCTCGAAGAAGCAGAGGGTGAATGTCAGGTTTGTGAATGTCTATCCATATGGAGTGATGCCGTTGTCATTCTTGCAATGAGACGGATGCATGTTGATACGAAACTCACTTCTCGCTATGAGAACGTAAGCGAATTCAAATGGGAGAGAATGTCACGCAGTGAGAATGCTTATCCCCCCATTCAGCACGGCAAGAACGCTAACAGTTAGGCGCGAGACCTATTTTACCAATAGTGCACTAATGATATATGATCATATGCAGGTATTCTCCCTAACATCCTACTCATAGCATGCGTGTATGCCAGTTGTTTGGGATCGCCGGCCTCAGAATGAGGGGAAGGAGACCTTGAGGCGTTGTACGGAGCAAACCTGCGGTCCGTGAAGTGATGTCAAGAAAGACATGAATCTCATGTAAGTTCCTGTGCAGCCTAAGAGACTAAGAATATACTTTGAAATGTTTACAAGTACGTGGGTTAAGCTTTTGAAGTGGAAAACCCAAATACTAAATTAAATGGTGAGGTATATGATAAATCAACTAATCAAATTGGAATTTTATCGCAAGAAACTACGCGATAAGTTATCTGTTATCCAAGAAACGAAAAAGGTAGAAAGGAAAATGTTTAACCCCAAAATATACTGTTAAAAGAATATGTTCCTAGGTCTGCAATCATAAAAGTTATCGTTTATATTAATAGAAAGCTTATGTATAAAGTAGTTTCCACATGAATATTCAAATTTTGCATGATAAATCCCCATATATCTACTTTATAAAAAGCACCGCATAGAACTAACCTTACGATTATTGAGTTATCAAGACTGAAGATATTTTGTACTACAGTCAGCTCAATCAACCTGAACTTGTAGAAAGCAAAATCCAGGAAATAAGTGAAAAACAAGAAACTACGAAAGAGATATCACATCTGCCATGTATTTTACAAGTGTCAACCTATTAGAACAGTAAAATGGATTATCAAGGAGCCACATCAGTTGTCGCATTTTTATTTCATGGAAAGCTTATGAATAAAGTAGTCTCCACATGAATGTTCAAATTTTGCATGATAAATCCCCATATATCTACTTCATAAAAAGCACCGCATAGAACTAACCTTACGATTAGTACGAGTTATCAAGACTGAAGATATTTTGTACTACAGTTAGCTCAATCAAACTGAACTTTTAGAAAGCAAAACCCAGGAAATACGTGAAAAACAAGAAACTAAGAAAGAAATATCACATCTGTCATGTGTTGCAAAACCCAGGAAATACGTGAAAAACAAGAAACTAAGAAAGAAATATCACATCTGCCATGTGTTCTGCAAGTGTCAGCCTATTAGAACTGTAAAATGGATTATCAAGGAGCAAATGAGTTGTGGCATTTTTAATTCATGGAAAGCTTATGAATAAAGTAGTTTCCACATGAATGTTCAAGTTTTGCATGATAAATACCCATATTTCTACGACGTAAAAAGCACAGCATACAGATTTAACCTTACAGATTATTATGAGCTATAATTGAGCTTGAAGCTATTTCTGTACTACAATCAAGATTTGAAGAGAATATTTCTGAATAATAGTTAAAAATGGTGGGCATTGCAAGTAAATACAAGATGCAAGCATAGAATTTTAATTTTCTGAAGAAAATTCCATCAAAAATTTGAAAACATCAAGTTCAGAGTATACCAATCAAAGAAGAAAGAAATCATTTGAATTTTAGAGCTAATACCTATGAACATCCATGCAACCAGAATTGGTTGGAGTTCAGCACACAATTACCACTATAGCCAATAAAAAATGGCTTATCAAGTTGAGAAGCAGCATCTCTGATGAGATTTTGCCCATCTGCCATTTAACGTGAAAATTACAAAGGTTAGCTGTGAGCAAGGACACCATTCAGGTAAAGAAATTTTATTTCAAGAACTAATTCAACTACCAAATTTTATTAATAAATGATCACCAGTGGTGCAGCTCTTTTGATGGCGTCTATAGCTTCAAGCAAAATTGCCCTCTATTTTTCTATGAACTATTACTCCTTCTCGTCCAATTTTGTAAAGCCAGCCTTCCCCTTCTTACCAGGAAATCCATTATCAGTATCCAAAGTTTTGAACTTACTAGAAATTTGACTTGGTTCCTCTGCTTTCTTATTTGATGCATAGTCTCCAAGAAGCAGCTTGTTCAAGTCATCATATCTGAACAAGTTCAACTCATCCACTAGCTCCTGATCTTAGTAAATTCAAAGCTTTTTCAAACAATATCTCATCACTGAGTGAATCGATTGCGACAAAAATTGGAATTTTTACACTCCCCATATACAGAGTTCACCAGTACCTCAGAATCACTACCTCCTCTAAACACTATAAATGAGAAAATCAGCACCTTCAGAATTAGATACATCTAATGCAGCTACTGAAGTTTGGTCATTTCTTGCCACCAAAGAACTACTGACTCAGTATTTTAATCCATCATTGTATTCCTTGCAACAATACTAGGAAGATCTATCCAGATGGAAGAAAGATGACAATTAACAATGTGGTCAATTTCAGGTTGACAGATCCAAATTCTATAAATAGATAAAGCTTGAATCTATTTGGAACTTGGGAAGCATACAGAAAAATATAAAAATGAAAATTATTTTCCTTTACTTGATTATACAAAAAACTCTTAACAGAAATTGCAGAAAAAACAGTTGAATTTCCACACATTATAGTTCTCATAATCTCCAATTCTAATTTGAGACATCGTTGATTTCCAGCACATTTCATTGAGCTTGAGTTTCATTTCATAATCTCCTTCAGTTCCAAGATTCAAACACCACGAGGAGGTCACCACGCTCGCATTTTGAAATGTCATCACAACAAAGGACAGTACAAAACAGTGAGAATGCTTATCCCCCATTCGGCACGGCAAGGACGCTCACAGCTAGGCGCGAGGCCTATTTTACCAATAGTGCACTAATAATATATGATCATATACAGGTATTCTCCCTAACATCCTACTCATAGCATGCGTGTATGCTAGTTGTTCGAACTTGCCGGCCTCAGAATGAGGGGAAGGTAGCCTTGAGGCGTTGTACCTCGGACGCCAAACGTGCGGTCCGTGAAAGTTGGTATCAGAGTGGGTCCGCTCGAGTATGCGGTGTTGTTATGGGACAATGTCGTGTGTTCTTGCGGAGAAAAGATTTTGGGCCACAGATCGTGTTAGCAAGCTGGCAGAACACGACGAAGGAAGTTGTGGGCAAGAAGGATGAAAAAGGGCAGCGTTGCGCAATTACCTAGGTGCCTTTCAAGGAGTTTTCGAGGAGCGCACCTTGCAGGGATTTTCGACATGCGTTGAGGCGCTACGGTTTGGAGGCCGTCCACCCGAGGAACCAATGCTCGGAGAAGCAGAGGGTGAAGGTTGGTGTCGAAGGCGGTAAGTACGAGTTACTACAGGTTTGTGAATGTCTATCCATATGGAGTGGTGCCATTGTCATTCTTGTAATGAGACGGATGCGTGTTGATGCGAAACTCACTTCTCGCTATGAGGACGTAAGTGAATTCAAATGGGGGAGAATGTCACGTAGTGAGAATGCTTATTCCCCCATTCGGCACAGCAAGAACGCTAACAGCTAGGCGCGAGGCCTATTTTACCAATAGTGCACTAATGATATATGATCATATGCAGGTATTCTCCCTAACATCCTACACATAGCATGCGTGTACGCTAGTTGTTCAGGCTTACCGGCCCCAGAATGAGGGGAAGGCGGCCTTGAGGCGTTGTACCTCGGTAGCAAACCTGCGGTCCGTGAAGTGATGTCAAGAAAGACAGGAATCTCATGTAAGTTCCTGTGCAGCCTAAGAGACTAAGAATATACTTTGAAATGTTTACAAGTACGTGGGTTAAGCTTTTGAAGTGGAAAACCCAAATACAAAATTAAATGGTGAGGTATGCTAAATCAACTAATCAAATTGGAATTTTATCGCAAGAAACTACGTGATAAGTTATCTGTTATCCAAGAAACGAAAAAGGTAGAAAGGAAAATGTTTAACCCCAAAATATACTGTTAAAAAGAATATGTTCCTAGGTCTGCAATCATAAAAAGTTATCGTTTACAAAAAAAATTATCTCCATTTCTTTTAAGTGTTTACCCATGTAAATGCACTGGAAATATGACTCGCTTGTAGAAAAAGTTCATTAATATGAGCACTCATCCTCTGCCCAATCTGTCTCCATTCTGATTTGGGGGTTCTCTCCCTTCACCGAGACATTACTAAGCGGAAACAAAAATTCATTAAGTCTAAATGCAGACAGGCATCAATCACCAGGAAGGTATCATATGTCTAATGCTCGTCAGTTCAAGAGTTCAATTAGTGCTTTTATTCTTTAGGCTCTGGTTGGATTATATGTTTCAACGGAAAAGAAACTGAAAACCAATAGATCAGACTTTTCAACGGGAGATACTCTTCTTTTCCCCTCAACTGACAGCACAAGGCAAGGGTAGCGAGCAAGAAAGGTAATAAAAAATAGGGGATATCATTTCTGTATAATGACAAAGTATTTCGGTTCGGGTAGACAGTCAGTTCAATCAAACTGAAGTCATAGAAATCGAAACCCAGGAAATATGGGAAAAACAAGAAACTACGAAAAAGATATCATATCTGCCTTATGTTCTACAAGTGTCAGCCCTGTTTGAACTGTAAAATGGATTATCAGAGAGCCACAAGCTGTGGCATTTATATTAATAGAAAGCTTATGTATAAAGTAGTTTCCACATGAATGTTCAAATTTTGCATGATAAATCCCCATATATCAACTTCATAAAAAGCACCGCATAGAACTAACCTTACGATTATTATGAGTTATCAAGACTGAAGATATTTTGTACTACAGTCAGCTCAATCAAACTGAACTTGTAGAAAGCAAAATCCAGGAAATAAGTGAAAAACAAGAAACTACGAAAGAGATATCACATCTGCCATGTATTTTACAAGTGTCAACCTATTAGAACTGTAAAATGGATTATCAAGGAGCCACATGAGTTGTGGCATTTTTAATTCATGGAAAGCTTATGAATAAAGTAGTCTCCACATGAATGTTCAAATTTTGCATGATACATCCCTGTATATCTACTTCATAAAAAGCACCGCATAGAACTAACCTTACGATTAGTATGAGTTATCAAGACTGAAGATATTTTGTACTACAGTTAGCTCAATCAAACTGAACTTTTAGAAAGCAAAACTCAGGAAATACGTGAAAAACAAGAAACTAAGAAGTAAGAAAGAAATATCACATCTGCCATGTGTTCTGCAAGTGTCAGCCTATTAGAACTGTAAAATGGATTATCAAGGAGCACATGAGTTGTGGCATTTTTAATTCATGGAAAGCTTATGAATAAAGTAGTTTCCACATGAATGTTCAAATTTTGCATGATAAATACCCATATTTCTACGACGTAAAAAGCACAGCATACAGATTTAACCTTACAGATTATTATGAACTATAATTGAGCTTGAAGCTATTTCTGTACTACAATCAAGATTTGAAGAGAATATTTCTGAATAATAGTTAAAAATGGTGGGCATTGCAAGTAAATACAAGATGCATGCATAGAATTTTAATTTTCTGAAGAAAATTCCATCAAAAATTTGAAAACGTCAAGTTCAGAGTATACCAATCAAAGAAGAAAGAAATCATTTGAATTTTAGAGCTAATACCTATGAACATCCATGCAACCAGAATTGGTTGGAGTTCAGCACATAATTACCACTATAGCCAATAAAAAATGGCTTATCAAGTTGAGAAGCAGCATCTCTGATGAGATTTCGCCCATCTGCCATTTAACGTGAAAATTACAAAGGTTAGCTGTGAGCAAGGACACCATTCAGGTAAAGAAATTTTATTTCAAGAACTAATTCAACTACCAAATTTTATTAATAAATGATCACCAGTGGTGCAGCTCTTTTGATGGCGTCTATAGCTTCAAGCAAAATTGCCCTCTATTTTTCTATGAACTATTACTCCTTCTCGTCCAATTTTGTAAAGCCAGCCTTCCCCTTCTTACCAGGAAATCCATTATCAGTATCCAAAGTTTTGAACTTACTAGAAATTTGACTTGGTTCCTCTGCTTTCTTATTTGATGCATAGTCTCCAAGAAGCAGCTTGTTCAAGTCATCATATCTGAACAAGTTCAACTCATCCACTAGCTCCTGATCTTAGTAAATTCAAAGCTTTTTCAAACAATATCTCATCACTGAGTGAATCGATTGCGACAAAAATTGGAATTTTTACACTCCCCATATACAGAGTTCACCAGTACCTCAGAATCACTACCTCCTCTAAACACTATAAATGAGAAAATCAGCACCTTCAGAATTAGATACATCTAATGCAGCTACTGAAGTTTGGTCATTTCTTGCCACCAAAGAACTACTGACTCAGTATTTTAATCCATCATTGTATTCCTTGCAACAATACTAGGAAGATCTATCCAGATGGAAGAAAGATGACAATTAACAATGTGGTCAATTTCAGGTTGACAGATCCAAATTCTATAAATAGATAAAGCTTGAATCTATTTGGAACTTGGGAAGCATACAGAAAAATATAAAAATGAAAATTATTTTCCTTTACTTGATTATACAAAAAACTCTTTAACAGAAATTGCATAAAAAACAGTTGAATTTCCACACATTATAGTTCTCATAATCTCCAATTCTAATTAGAGACATCGTTGATTTCCAGCACATTTCATTGAGCTTGAGTTTCATTTCATAATCTCCTTCAGTTCCAAGATTCAAACACCATAAGGAGGTCACCACGCTCGCATTTTGAAATGTCATCACAACAAAGGACAGTACAAAATTAGAATATTTAGAGGCTTTCCAACAATCATGTACCTTAAATTATTTAAGCACCAATTTATTCATTGCTAGATTACTAAACTTGAACATGTTAAGAATCAAAATGCACATCCAACTACTGGATCATGTTAGCACTAGGAAATGCAAAACGCCATTATTATAATGATAAATCCAATATGGATCCAGTAAAACTGTAATACATCTATGAACCTATTAAGAAATCCGGCCAAAAAGATAACCTTGATCAGAAAGCAAGGCTCCGCTGGCATTAACAGCAGCTTAAATGTCAACGCGCTCGTCAATTAACAAGTATGTGCGGTCCCTGATCACCGAAATCAGTAAACACGCAGCCTCGTATAGCTTTCTGCCACTTGTTCCACCACCATTGAGCACTACAATTCCAACTCTATCCGATACTGCATAAACATTATTGTTGTCCCTTGAAACCTCCTCGGGAGCACGAGATTCGGGACCTTGATGTCGCTTCTAGCCACCAGGGAACAGAGTTCGTGGGTGGTTTTGGTTCATTGAGCTTGTCACTATAAAAGATTTGATTTTTTTGTTTGGAGCGGTTGAGGATGCAGAAAAATTGGAGGGATGAGTCGATGACGGGGTTGAGTAGTAGAAAGGGGATGGATTGTGGGTGGAAGAAGAAAAGGTGAGGCAGGAAATATGTGGAGCTTAGAGGGGAGAAGAGTGATACTAGCATAGATAATGGAGGGATGGCGGTGGCCGTGCGGCGGTGTTGGCCGCGGTGAAAGGGAACCTCTCTCATCTTTCCCTCCCTGTTTGTGTGGGGTGGCTCATCTAAATGAAATGGAAAAATTGCACCATTAGTCCTAATCCTATTATTCAACTAACAAGAGGAGCAAGTTGATATACAAAGAATCTTTGGTGATGAAAATGGACAAACGTTTGCTAAATTATCACCTAAATGTCAGATTTTTAATTTTTGCCCTCTTTGATGCCCATTAAAATGAGTTTTTTTTTTTTTTTTTTTGTTTTGTAATAATTTTTTTTTAAGAATGTGTAGTTAAAAAGTAAAGAAATTTTTTTTAGTTTACATACAAAATATTTAATTGTGTGAACGTGCAATTGAAAATGAATTTTAGAATAAAAGAGTTTTTGGAGAATGATAGACAAATAAGAGCTTTATAGAGTTGTTAATGTGATATCAGTGAATATGAGTATGCCTATTTCGATAGGTATTAACCTCAAAATGAATAGTGATTGGAGGTGGAATATGAGACATCATTCTAGATGAATTTTGTTATCTCTACATGCGATTAGTAACAATTGCCTTACACACGTGCATCTATTAGTGGATTTGATTTGAAAAATAAATCCACCTATAGATGCATGCTCAGACGTCGCGTGCATCTGTCATACTGCTTGTATAGCATTTCTCAACCTAGATAGTCATGAGGGTGGTCTATTGCACAATGGGTGTTAGGCTGTAAATGAGTAGTGCTTCCTATGGATGCTTGAGCCAATGCTAGATTATGCATCTCCTATTAGTTACTGCTTTTTCAAAAANTTACTTCAAATTAGTCCTTCATCAATTTAAAACAACACTCCGATCTCTACACTATAATTCCATGAATTCTAATACCCATTAGTCACAATACATTTTTATCAGATCACTTTAATTGACTAATATCTTTTAAACAATAACACCACACATTTCAATATACAACGTGTGGCCTCGTATATGTTGAAATTATCCAACAGATCAACCAAAAATTCAGCAATGCTTTTCCATTATTTGGACCCAAGGGTATTTATCACCACCGCTTTGCTAGTATAGAACATTGTTCCTTCAGTTGGATATTTATCATCATAATTTGTCAGCGACATAACACTTTAAGCGCATATAATTATTCACTATACATAATCCAAATCCATTACACTTTAAGATTTTTCTATTCTAAATAAGCATTGCTAGCTGCTGAAAGTTCTATATACTCATTTTAACTGGATTACATATAACTTAATTTTGAGATTTCAGCTTGATGGTACACTTTCTCTTAGTCAGGTGTTTTTTTTTTTTTGGGGGGGGGGGGGGGGGGGCCCATTTTTTTTTTGGGGGGGGGCCCCCCCCCCCCCCCCCAAATCCGTCCCTGATAGCAAGAAAAAAGAGACATAAACTTTTCATTTTTTGATCTTATTTTTTTTTGGTTTTTTAATTTTCCCTTCCGTTCATTTTGTTTTAGTGTTATCAGTGCTCTCTGAGAAGAAGAAATGGTTGGGAGGAAAAGGAAGGATGACAAGGGTGCGAAAAAGACTGCCAAAAAGGTATGAACGCACACACAAACATGCCTATAAATCATCTTTTAATTGTAAAAAAAAATATCATGAAACGTTTGAAATACATTTTGCACAGGCATGCAAACCATTCATTATTGTGTTCTATATGATCACAAGTAGTCTTTATTGTTGTTAGAAGAATATTTTTTTTTCTTTTGATTTCTTTATTTCTTTCAAATTGTTTTCTTGGATACCAATGACCACGAAAAAGGAGCAGATTTTAGGGGCTTTTTTTTCTCATTTTCTGTAGTGTCCTTTCTGGGTATGGGATAGAATATTGTAAATTTACGAATCATTAATATAAGATACAACATGGATTTTGGGGATTTGTGAAAAAAGTCCATTGTTGTTATAATATAGGTCTTGGAAGTGACGGAAGTTATGAGGAGAGTGAAGATGTGAACAGAATAACTTTGGTGGATATTTTTCATGCGTATATTCAAATTAAGAAAGGGAATTATCTCTTGCCTTAGTTAGAGGCATTTAGTGCAGCAGAGTATTTATGACTTTGCATAGAAATATGAGAATAGTCAAATTTAAAATACATTCTTTCAAAACTCATTTTCAACTGCACATTCTTCAATAAAATAATATTTTCCTTCACATCAGTAATTTTTTCTTATTTTTTAACTACATATTTCTCATCATATCACTATTTAAAATACATTCTTTCCTCAATAATATCCATCAAACACACCCTTAGAGCCAGTTTGATTCACATTATTGTAGAATGAGAATGAAAAATATAGTTGTTATTGGGCCCCACAACATCATATCACTATTTAAAATTCATACTATTTTATGTTATGTGTGACAACTAGGAAAGTTGTTGGGCTAGTATTAACTGTAAACATAGAAGAGAATATTGATTTCTAATGAGTGAGGTATTCAAAAAGGGTACGAACTTTCTTAGTTTAGGCTCTGGAGACTCCTCTTGATAAAAGAGTAGAATCCATGCTGAATCTAGATGAGTATGTGTTAATGCTTGGTTGAGTTATGTCACTTTATAAATTTTTTCTGTAATCTGTTCATGTGTAATTCGAAAACATATTTTGTCGTGATATTGAAGAGATTTGAAAACCATTGCTTACTTCCAAATAGTATATGCTATCATTCTACTGCAAGTCACTTTCTGTAAATCTATTAAGCAGAACTTTGATTGATCTGATGTTATATTTTTATTAACAGGATAAAACATCCATTGCTTCTTTAGAGATGGAAAATACTGAGAAGGAAATGCATTTGCATACAAACAACACAAATGCTACAGATCCTATAACTGCTGAGGACACTGTGCCATTACATTCAAAGAAAAAACAATCAAAGAATTCAAAAGCAGTTGTCAGGAGATCCAGCCGTCTTATGAGTTCCATACGACCTATTCATAGCCAAGTCGTTGTTCCTGTTGCCGAGCATGTCGATCTTGTCGACAATGAAGAAGAAGAAGAGCCGAATGTTCAGGAAGTTAGTGCTATGCCAATCATGGTTGAAAGAAGTGTGGAAGAAAATGCTGACCGTGTTGTCCGATCTACTGATGAATACAAGCCTAAGGTTGCTTTCCATTTTTAGCTATAATGCTTTAGTACAATAGAAAACATTCTGACTTCTTTTTCTTCCCTAATATTGTCTGATTCAAATTATCCAACATGCCAGTACTCTTTATCTTTTTGACCAATTAGTGTGCATAATCAGAATGGTAAACAGGTTACTGAAAGACTAATTAAGTGCCCCTCTGCTAGTATGAACTACAAAAGATTGTACTTCGACTCGCAAAAGAAGGTGATGGTGATTTGAAGTTTCAACAGAAGATAATTCTGGCCTGTTCCTATTTTGACCATCTTCTTTTAATGTGCAGGTTGATTTCTTAATGGAGGAAAATTTACAGCTAGTCAAAAATTTGGAATTTTGTCGTGGAAAGATTGAAGCGGTACTCTTTAACTAGATCTTATATATTTTAAATATGTTTCTTCATCTTTTTATTTCTGGTCATTGCCTGTTAACGTAACTGTAAGAACAGTTGGTCATGATGATATTTGGAAGATTTTTGTGATTGTGTCTTAAACTTATTATTATGAGAAAAGTTACAGTTGTTTAACGCTTAGAAAAGAAAATAAATTAATGGAATTTCAGATCATTTTGGTTGGACTAATAACCTTCAAGTAGGCATTCACGGGGCAAAACTTTGTCCCAAGTTATTATCCTTCTTTTCTGCATACATTGGAGAAAAGGTCTCTACAAAATACCAAGCGCAAATAAAATGTTCTAAGAAATTTATTTAAACTCTGATTCATCATTTCGATAATGAATTTGGTGTTCTGAGTTATATTCGTTTACTTATCTTACTCAAGTTGTCACTGGTGAATCCTCCATTTTAATTGACAGATTCCAGTTTACACTGGAATTTCAGAATTATGCTTCTGTATTTAATGTTTTAGATATAACTTATGTTTTCAGATTTCATTCTAGTATAGTTTTACTAATGTTTACATAATCTTCAGTATTTTTTATTCATTATGTTTGGACTTATCAATGTTATCGATTACAGTATGAGAAGATGAAGGATGTTATGGCTAGTCCAAAGGACGTGATTTTGATCAACAATTCGGGAAAGGCAACCGAACGCACAGAAAATTTATTACCTCAAATGATGGTGGGAAATTGTAGCTCTCTGACTGCTGTTGCTGCTTCTGACGCCGTGGATGATCTTAAGAAATCTGTTAAGCAAAGGAAGTACAGTCGCAAAGAGAAAAGGGCCAAGTCTTGATATTGCTTAGTACACTTTGGTTAACTTTTTGTTACCACGACAGTAGTTTAGGTAGCCTTCAAACATAAATCTTTGAGGTTACTTTTTTTGGATGAGCCAATATTTGTAGTAATAACTGTGTCCTTTCTTTTTGAATGTTTTGCGAACTATGTAATGATGTCAAGTCATGTTGAATATAATTCATGGGTTCATAAGAAAAATGAATGTTCTGTTTTTAAGAAATACAATGTTGAATGTGGCAATTTCTTATTCGATTCACTGCTTTGAGGTTTAATATTTTTCCTATTAACTTTCTTTGTTTATGTGCGCTTAAATTCAATGATTGAGGATGCATCTGTCCCATGAGATTGTGCAATGTGTATCCTACTACATTAAAAGACTCATCCTCCAAAACACTGTTCATAACCTGTTCATCCTGCTAAGACACATATCACTGTTCACAAGCCGAGCCTCTTAAATGTTGCCAGACAAGCCTCTCCTGTTCATACCACTTCCACTGCCTGAGACACGTGAAATTCTGATTACCCTTTATTTCTCTCGCCCTCTCCTCTCTCTTTCGACAATCAACAGATCTCCGCCATTTCCCCCAAATCAACCCTACTTCATCTTCTCCCCATTCACTTCCCTCTCCTTGCGCCGTTTCCTACTTTCTCAATCGCCTGTACTGAACTGAAGCTGAAACCGCAAACCCTACCTTTCCTAAATTCGTAATTCCATTGATTGATTGATTCCATGATTTCCATTTGAAATCGAAGGCCGAAGCAGAGGCAGCACCGCAACAGCTGCTACCCACGCGGTAACTCCACGGGTGACGACGAGCAAGGCCACTAGGATGAAGAGAAAGTCGCCTGCGCTGCCAACGACGTGTTCTGCCGTTTTGGTCTCAGAATCTTCCGCCACTGCTTTGATCGGACCGATGGCTGGATTCGTATTCAGATATAGACGCTTCTCTTTGATTGAATTTGTTTCTTTCCTTTTTTATTTTTTTTTATCATTTTCCCTGATTTAGTTATCATACTTGGTAGTGGAAGTTTTATCAATTTTTCTGTACACGACGAACTTACATGGAAATAACAAATACCATCATTTTTTTTTTTTATCAATTGAAGAACTGCTTTCGTGTAACTGTTGCGATAATTTTTTACCCATTTGAGCAGAAAAACTTGGCTGAAGATTGGATAGCAGCAAGTTATACGTGGCCTTCATCACCAGGGGCCTTATTTAAAAAATGTGGGGTTCTTAAATTACTAGAACTTGTTCCATAATAATTGTCATCATCTGGTTTCCTGTTAACAAACTGTAATTCGTAGTACTATTTTACCATGGATAAATTAAGTATATAGAAGGAAAATGCTAATTTATTGAAGAAACGTCATCTTTTCTTCAGTCCCACCTCTTGTGGCTATATTCAGTTGAAGTTTTCTTGGATGTAATAATGTTACTTTTTAGGGTTGTGGAACTTCGCTGAAAATATCCTATCAAGGTCGCGAGACCTTTGGCAGTGAATAGTATCAAATATCACAAAATTATCTTTTTTTTTCTTTTGTCCGAGTTTTATTTTTGGTGTAGAGAGAATCACGGAAGACATTATTCCTATTGGCTTACCAGAGTTTGGGTGTAGTGTTCAGTTTTGAATTATGGCCGCTATATCAAGGTATGTCATATTACTTCAATAGAAATCCATCTCTCCGCGTTTTCCATTTTTACCATGTTTTGTACCGAAAACTCCCAAAACGATAAAAATAACATTTTCTATTTTTAGTACAATTTTTTTCCTGTTTTCAAAAAATAGAACACGTTTTCGCTCTTTTGGAAAATAGAAAACAGAAAATAGTTTGAAAATGCTGAGAACGGCCCTAATTTTGTGGGTTTTATATTGTTTTGCAAATAATAATTGACTTCAAAAACACAAAAAAATTGGTTAATTAAAACGTTATGTGACATAAAGATATTGGGTTTTACAAAGAAATCGGTGAAGGCATCAATATCTTTATATTTCCATTTATATATATGTTATACTTATGTGTAGATTGACTCGATTGAATCTGGATCTGAGAAATGAACAATTCCTAATGATATTTCACTAATTTATCAAAAGAAGTTTTGATGTTAACCGTTGGAGTGTGCTTTGAGTTTTGGATTGTTATGGATTTCCAGATTTTTGTTCTTTTTCTACTTTCTCAAATATTTTTTTTTTTTGCAATCTGGATTTTGGGTTAATTTGATTTCTTTGACTTTGCAGGCGGTGGACTATGGGGTTCACAAGCTGTAAGAGCACAACACTGTTGGGGTATCACTTTAAATCATCATTCTTCAATTTGACTTGGTTTTTTCGTTGATTAACATTATGTGTGGACGCATACAACTGGGTTCTTACTTGCACATTATATGAATTGTTATTTTCAGTAGTAGACTGATTCTCAAGTCTGAGATAGCATATCAAAATATGAAGAAAGATAGTAGATTTTCATGGAGAGATGATTCTGTTGGTTTTTTTTTTTTTTTAGTGTATTGCAAATGGAGTGGAAGAGCAGAATTGAAGTTGTTTGGAGGCAGAAATTAAAATTGGCTTAGGTGCAAATGGATTTTATTTTATTTTTTTATATAACCAATAACATCTTAAGGCAATCAAGAAGAGCATTTCTTGGTAAGTGTGTTGTATGTTTTCTATAGTGCTTACTTACCAATTTTCGATACATAAGTTTTGACTATCATTACTATTAACACTTCATATCTTCCTTCCACATCAATTTTTAGTAATCTGGTTTTCTTTTTTGGTATTCAGTTTTAGAGTTTTTAGGCCGTGCAATTGTATGATCATTACCTAAGTGAAGAAGCAGAGATTTGAGGTGTTTGCTTGCATTATAGGTTTGTATTTTTATTAGAGTGTTGTGATATATAGTTTCAGTTGTGAAACTTTTGGGTATGGAGTATTTAGCTTCTTTTTTGGAAATAATGTGAAAAAGATTCAATATAAGAATTTGGTAGAGAAATGGAGCAAAGATTTTTCACAGCATTTTAAGGTGAGGTTTACAGAATAAAGATTTTGTATAATTTAGTTAAGTTTTCTAAGTTGGAAAATTTTTGGGATAGTAATAAAACAAACTGCCTATTTACTTTCGTTGAGGAATAAATTATGGAGATTGACTTTAGATGATATTTATGAATTGGGTTCCGTCAGAAAATTAAGGAATTTTTCTGGAATTTGTGGAGGCATTAACGATGAACAATTTGCAACTGGAAATATTTGATTGGTGAAAAATTAGTTTATGTGATTCCAAGGAAGAAAATTCAAAAAGAGAAGTTCAATTCTGGTGATTAGTCTATTATGAAGAGAACGTGTGCGCACACGGTACTTATTGGTTTATTAAGCCTCCGTTTTGCAACATTTTTAAATCATTTACAAAATGGTCAAACTTCATTCACACATTTTAATGAACGACAAGTAGTATTGCTTATCCACCACTCATTTGTGTCTACTTATAAATTCTTCCTAAACAAAGTATAAATATTTCTATGCTATGATATTGTCACCTGCTGATGAGGAAGCAAAGAAGAAGGCTAGAGGTGCTAAGTTTGGATCTGTTGCCAAGACTGATTCGGTAGAGGAAGAGAAAAAGAAAGCAACAGAAATAAGGTTGTTGATTTTGATAGTGGTCTAACATAACACAGTAGACTATGTACAGCTATTAGTGTGGGAATCTTTTATACTGCAATTAAGTGTGGATTTGCAAGACAACTTTTTATTTAGTCTAGGTTGTGTTTGGAATTGTTTTCCAAAAATTGTTTGTTTTTTTTCCTGTTACTGAAAAGTTGTTTCAAGTAGTAATTTTTTCAAAACAGTACTTAATTTTAATGGAAATTCTTAGAATGTCAAACAAACAAAATCTTAACTTCATCAAATTCAAATTTTTTTTTTTTTTTGTAAAAAATCAGCCAAATCATAGTTATAGTTTGTTCTTATGTGGAACAAATACTACATGTTTTGTTCAACTTATTTATCTTTTATTTAATAAAAAAAGTGAAAACTATATATGCTCACAAGTGACTTCTAACAAAGTCTGATGAGCGTCCAACATTATTTTGCAGGTTTTCCATTTTTTCCCTTTTCAATCCAAAATAAGAAGGGAGCGTTGCTATGTTTAGATTTTATAGGTTTTATTAAATAGCAAAGCTTTTCTGACATCTCAGGCTTTTAATAGCCACAAAAATATATTTGCATTTGTATGTTTTATTCGTTTATGTTTATGTTTGAATATCCAGAAAATGTGTGTTAAAATCAGGAGTGAACGATCCAATTTTTCACAAAAAAATTGTTCACTCTCTAGAATCAGGAGAGAAGAATTAAGGATATGTGCTAAATGATTTCCAGTGTCATGTTGCATTTCAGAAGCAGCATTATCTTATATAAGAATTTGTTTTTTGTGTAATTTCTATACCGTTTATATCTGAAGAGTTAACATATGTCTGCACTTATAAAATCTTCAAAATAATCGATTGCTTGGTTAGAGTGTTTGAAAATTCAGTTTTTAAATTTGGTTTAGTAGTTAAACATTTTCAGCAGTTTACACCGTGTACGCACGCGCAGAATTTTTTTTTTTTTTTTCCCAGTGATAGTAAACTTGTGTTTGGCAAATATGCATTATCCTTAGCAAGGGCTAATTTTCATGTATAGGATAATAAAGCGAAATTTTTTTTAGTAAGATACTCACCCTACCTATTTTTTATTCTGCACTATTGTTTTAATTACCAAATCCAAATTCTTCCAATAGGGGGAGATGTTTTCAGAATACTGAGGATATGGAATAAAGATTTTACCAAATTATGAACCATAAGGGGGAGATGAATTGCATTTTAGATATTGTGAGAGAGAAGGATTTTCTTACTAGCCATTCTTCTCAATTCTTCTTGTTTCTTCTAGCGTAGGTGAAACGGATTGGACGCTTAACAGAATTTAATGTGCATGAGCTCAGGCATGCCGAGGATTTATCTTCCATTTT